TACAGACCTTTACCCCAAAGTGCCCACCCCCTCTGTGGCTGAGGTCAGAGCCTCCAAGTCTATCCAGATCTACAGCAGCATTTGTCTGGTGTAAACCTGTATTGGTGTGGCACGGCTGCATTCTCTGCATGACTACAGAGAGGAGTATCTGAGTATTTGTGCATCTGGAAAGGACCATTTTTGTGGTATGTGTGGCATGAGTAAGAACAGTTATGTTGCAGAGTGAGAGCAGTATGCTGGGGAAGCTCAAGAGTCCTGTGATATTTTGGCCGAGCTGTTTTGGTCTAGGACTGAGTTTGAACTGTTTGAACAGCGGTTTTGAACAATGGCTTGCTGCAATGTCCTGGATCTGATTGTAGCAATGGGATAAGAGAATGGATTGTGGGAAACGGAAGAAATTCTGGACTTCAGTGCTTCTAGGAATAATAAAATGTCTGTTCTGCAATATGTTTAGCAATGCATACAGAAACAATCCGTGGGGTTGCTTAGTGTTTTTCCAAGCTTTTATTAGGATGTTAAAGGTGAAATCTTGGCCATCTTGAAGACAGTAGGAACCTGCCTTTGCCTCTCTTGGGTCAGGATTTCTCCCTCACGTCGGTGCCTGCTGTATTTGGCGAATCACCAGAAATGCCATCACATCTAACCTAGAGAAGCAGAGAGGAGCAAAGCATCTGTACTTTCTACACAAAATGGAGTGCCTCCAGGCAGTGCTCAGGGGTTGTACCTGGTGTTGTACCTGGTGGTGTACCCGGGCACCCTCAGTCTCCATGCAGAGGGTCTCCTGGGCAAATAGGTGGGAAGAGCCAGCAGGAAACAGCTGCTCGAAAACAGGGCTCAGAGATAGCGAGGGACTCATGGCAGGCCAGGGGCAGAGCCGGGAAGGGACCCTGTTGGCCTGACAACTCTGACTGTAGCAGCCTGTATGTGCAAGGAATTCAGATAGTATCAAAGTAAGTAAAGTTACATTGCGTTAAACGCATCCCAGAAGAAAGCAACTTGTGCTCCAACATCCTGACAGACAAACAAACGGAAAAATAACCTCCTAGTAGCCCAGAAATCTTGCTTATAATATGTATTAGTGTGTGGAAGTTCTTCAAATTTAAGTGACAAGTGCTTGGAGCTGGAGTATGTGAAATGGTGCTGTGCCTCATTTCTGAGCAATGCAAACCTGGACCAATTTGACCACAGGCACCTCTCCTCTGATGTCTTAATTCTGAGTAGATAGATTATAATAACTCTTCCCACTCAAATACTGCTTTTCCTCTTTTGACCTGAGAACACTTTAAAAAGGGGATAATGTGTCAGCTCAATCACGGGCTAGGAATTTCTGTACTGAGTTTTAGCCTAAGAGCTGTTACGACAACCCAACGTATAAATCTCTCAAAGATTTTAAAACGATGCTACTGATCTCCAAGTGATAGCCTCTTAGATATTATTACTGAAACTTTCTGGAAGTAGTGCAAACCAGGAGGGAACAATTAATCCTTGGAGTAACCCCATTTACTCTAGCAGTTTGGCCCTGAGGGAGTGGGAGCACTTGATGTCTGACAGCAGCCCCAAATGTCAGTATTTCTCCCCTTGTTCATTTGCCTGCTTGCTGTGGTAGATTTCATGCCGTTATAAGCTGTTTATGTACAGCCTGATCAAAGTACTTAATGACAGGGTTAATTTCTACGTATAATGAGGAAGTCAAGACAGGAGACAGGTACTGTGTAATCGAATTTTTCATTTTGGAATTTGTTTCTCTTCGTGTAGGGCTTAGCTTTGATTTTTATTTCCATTAATGTCTTCATTTACTGTTCTTTCTAGTCTCTCAGCTGAGCTAAACCTACTGTGGAAATAGCGGAGGCACTGAATTGTTCCAACAGCTTCCATGAAAGCATGATGATAAAGTAAAAATAGTCTATAACTTCTCTGCAACAAGACCTCAAACTGCATTTTGGTTGGGGGGACAGTTCCTAATACAATTACACTGCTTAAATAGTCTACTGAGACATCTAATCCTCTTTTTACGTCTCAGTAGGTACGTGCACGGGCAGGGATGCTTAGGTATGTCTGTACATAGCTAGAGAAAGAGACAAAGATTGCGTTAAAATAATCTGGAAATCTTACCATTTATGAAGTGTGTGTCTTCGGCAAGACCTTACAGACATAAATGAATCCCCACAGCATCCCTTTGAAAGAGCTGATGGTGAAAAAGATGTTAACAGTCCTCGTTTCTCAAAAGATGGAAATGAGACCTGGAGTACTGGGTTTGCCCTGCTTATTCTAGTTTTCATTTTTAGATGCACTGAGCACTGTGAACGTTTCTGGACATTCAGAAATCTAGGGGTACAGAAGTGATGGAGGCCTCAGAAGATACGGCTCGCTGAGGCAGCCAGCTTCAGGAATCAAGCTAGAAGTTGTTAGATGGAGTTAAATATGGACGTATCTAGCTCACCCTGCATCCACTGTATTTCTCTTTTTCTAGCACTCTTTAATTTTTAAGAAAACAGGGATTTAAAAGTTCGCGTGATGCTAATTTCTGTGAACCACTGTTACCCAAGTTTCCTCATAGCTGAGATAGAAATCTTTCTTTGTGAGGAGTGTGCACCTCTATTAGCACCACTGTGCAAGCTGTAGTTTGCAAATGCGGTGGGAGGCTTTGCTCATGCTAATTTGGGCTCAGTCATGCACCTTCTTTTCCTCTTTTACATGCAAATAGCAGCTGTGTCAGTCTCTGGGATGCCTGCTTGTTCCTTTAACAGAGAGATTCCAGTTCATACCTTCAACCAGTGCATTTGTGCGTGGGCTGAGGTATAGAGCAGTGGTACAGTTGCTGACAAGGAAAGAGCTGTGATGGAGGCTGGAACAAGTTAGTGAAATAGAGAAGTTTTGAAAGAATACGGCTGAGCTTTTCGGGTGTGTTTTCATTTAATAAAAAAATGGGGAGGGAGGAGAACAGCAGAGGACTCCATAAAATGATAATCCATGATCCTGCCCGCATAAAAAAATGCTCTCCCAGCATTTTCCATGGTGGGTGCAGTACGTCTGCCCTGCTGCAAAGACAAGGAGGTTCATGGTGCTTGCGTGGGGCCAGCACCAAAACTGGGTAGAAGTAATTGAAAACAAAGCATGTTGCATGATGTTATTTTCTCTTCTGTCTTCAGCCTTCACCTCTGCTTTACAGTTGTGGCTACCTGAACCCAGCCACTACGTTACTCTTCCTTTTCTGAAAGGCTGTCCCTGCTCTTGTGTCACAGAAGTCAGTGCAAAATGGAATCAGGTAAAATAATCTCCATGGCATCCCTTTGGATGCCACCGAACTTACTGAAGAGAGTAGGCATGAGTGCCATGTGGGCTATGCAATGTCCGTGTTGTACAACAAGGATCTGTAAAAGGGTGTTTGATTCAGGGTGTAAGGATTTCCAGGAATTTGGGCTGCAAAGCTTTCTAGGAAGGTCATCTCAAATAAATATGTTGTCCCTGTGAAGTGCTCAGTTGAGTCCGTAGGCAGCTTGCCGCAGGGTTTTCAGGTGAAGGCTCGCCTTTCAGAAAGCCCTGGTTAGCGTTTGTCTGTTCTCCCTTGAAAAGACTGCCTTGATTTCAGTGCCACAGCAGGACCCCGTGTACAGCCAGGACTCGGGGTATGTCCACCTCTTCGTGTGTCCACGGACGTCCTTGGAGGCTGTAACATAACGGTGAAATAACGGGGCTTCAGCTCCCCTCTCACCTGCTTTATAATCTTCTTGAATATATCCCCTCTGGGTGTGCAACTGGCAGAGAGGGGGCTAAGGGAAGAAACACATGTACATGCCTTAATCATACTGACCAGTGAAAGCGATGCCATCTTTATACAAGGAAGGCCCTTAAACCCCTCCCTGGCCTCTCCACTGATCTGTGGGGAAACAAGGCTGTGGCCTTCAGGGTTTCCATTGACTACAGATTTGGCAACACTAAATTAAGTGGGTAATACATTGTGGCACAATAGGATGAAATCCTGACCCCAGTAATGGCAGTGGATTTTGGTATTGATTTTAAAAGTATGTTAGGATTTCAGCTGTAGAAATTAGTGGCAAACCGCATGATGAAATAATCTAGTTATTTCCTGTCAAGCAGGGGTTCCTCAGCAACATGGATATTACAGAAAATACTTTACAAATGGAAATTCATCCTGTTGCAGAGAAACACTTTGAGCTATTGACCCTGCAAAGTAATGCATGCGTATAATAAAGTTATTTCCTGGCTATTTAAAACTTCCTTTTAACAATGTGGGTAGATCCAGTTATGCTGTTCTCTGCCATAACAACAATTTATCCAAAGCACTTTGTTGCCAGGCCTAAATTTTGCAAAAATATCTGGTCTTTAAAACCTTTGAGAAAGGGAGATATTTGCACCTGACATGTCTACAAGTAACTCAGACCAGGTTATTGATCGGTCCTGTATATGTTGCTTTCCAGTGGGAGGATGAGATGGAGAGGCCAATCCATTACTGCAGCTATCTACCACTGGAAGGCAATAGAACTAATGATACGGGTTTTCAATAGCTGATTTATATTATCCTGTAGTCAATAAAAACTCATGATTTTGTCACTGTACTGTTTAAAGCAATGCTTCCAAATGCTGGCTGGCTCAAAATCAGATCCTCTGTAACACAGCTGCTGTGTTACAAGCAGGTGAAAACTTAACAAAATCCCACCAGTCCTCCAGAGTATGGTCTGGACAAGCTCTTGGCTGGCTGAGCAGTGGGTCCTGCGAGCCCTGAGCTGGTATGAGGCTCATTCCAGTGAGTGATTCCTGCTAAGACCAGCTATGGCTCCCCCAGCTGCTCCCCTGCACCGTGCCATGCCGCAGGGAAGGATGAAGGAGGTACTCTGGTGACTCTGGTACTCCTTTCTCTGGGCAATTACTGCACCTAGAATCTCAGTGACTGACCACGAATTTGGTGGTGATTAACAAGAAATACGTGTCGGTGGCTATAAATGAGAGGCAGTAACTAGCTCTCATCTTGTTCCTTCTAGTGATGCAAGTACTTTGGGCACCGCAGAGGAACTGCCCCCTGAATCCAGCATGGTGCAGAGCTCCCGAGGGAGAGGGTGGCAGCAAAAAGGAGCTGCATTTGCTGGAGAAAGGGTTTGACCAGCCGTGTGAGAGCCAGCCTGAGCAGTCAGTAGGCGCAGTCCCATCCTCTCTTGCGGTTGTGTTTGAACACGAGACCGGTCACAACAGAGTGGACATCGTCGCAGGTGAGCTCAGCCAGGCTGGGGACTTGCCTCGGGACACGCTGGTGGTCCCCAACAACATGTGTGTGAGGGAAAGGCTGTGTGCGGAGCAGCCGGGCACTGGAGGAGAGTGTAGATGCAGCATGGAGGTTTTTCACGTTCAGGTGGGCTGACCTGCAGGGATAATGAATGTCTTTTTGGACTTGTACACACCCTGTTTTCATGCAAACATTTCATGCAGATTTGTAACATGTGATAGCTGCCAAGCATCTTTTACACAGTCACAGTCTAGTGACTGAAGGATCCACTAATTAAGAAGCCCCTAATTAGGCTTTTAAATGATAAACTGTAATAGCTCTAGTGCAGCTGTTGTAAACTATAGAGTAAATTATACCCAGTTGCAAGAGATTTTAATTACGTATTTATATAACAGACTTTAAGGACTTTGAAAGATAAAAGAATTTTTAGTATAGGCAGAGAGTAACAATAGAGCTCTTAAACCAATGAAAGCAAGGAAATTCAGAGTTAATCTGAAAAGCGTTCTAATTTGGGGGGGATTGGTTTTGTTCTTTTTTGTTTTCGTAATGGATGAGATAAAAGTATTGTCAGCTAGGAGTTTGTCCTCTGCTCTTGATTTCCTAGATTTTATAGGTCCATGTACAGCATTAACGATGCCTCGGCAAACTTTCTGTAGTGTCATTTTTGCAGAAATCTGAACAAGATGACCCTTATCAACCAGATATTTTTCTTGCATCCTGATTTACAGAATGGTTAGTTGTACACATGCCTTTGTGAAGTCAACAGGAGCTCAAGAATTGGTCATGTTGGGCCCTTGGAGACCATGTTGAGGCCAAGTCTAGCCTGCACAGTGTTGGTGCGATTTTGGCAGCTATTCACCATGCTGTGCTTACCAAGTGGAGGAGAGGTGTGGATGTATTTGGGACTATTCTGCTATTTGGAGACTTGCACTCGGCTTCTTTTTTACAGGGCTCAGTCCTGCTCCACTGAAACCGAGGAGAGTTTAGCCCTTGCCCACGTTTGGGGCTGGACCAGACTCCTGTCTGCCTACCCTTTAGACATCAGCACTGCTTGTCTCTGCCCGTCAGTGCCTCTCTTGGTAACCTCACCAGTTCTGTCTCCAAATCGCAGCTGCCCTCATCCCCCCTCGCTTACCCAGCCCTGTTTGCTGCCCTTCCTTGCCACCTCTGATCACAACTAACTCTGATGCACCGCAGTGAACCTCTTTATAGAGACAAGGAACCATCTCTGATGTGCCATCCATTGTCTGATGGCTTTGCTCATCTGTTGCCAATTCTTTTTGTTTCTTAAATGACCTCTCCTCAGGACAAGGGCCGTGCTTACAGATACTGGGCTGTGATGTGCAGAGAGCTCAGCTCCTTCAGCTGCTCTTAGGGTCTGGCCTTCACAGCCATAGGACCGAGCAGCCCATGACAGCCAAACAAGGTAGGGCTTTTTGCTTATTCCAGCCACATCCAAGTATTTTCATCTGGAAATGTCACAGCAAGAGAAATAAGGAATACAGTTCTCATAGTTAATTTTACGGCTGATTAATTAGCCCAAAGAGTATTAAATTGTGCTAATGTAGTTTGCCTCTTCGATGCTGTCTTTTGACTTCAATGGAACTAAATGCATGCTTAAAGTTAACTACATGCCTAAGTGCTGTGGTGAATCGGGGCCTAGGGCATTAATTAGAACTTGGCTCAGATTTACTTTCAAGGCTTTCTCCCCCCCCCCCCCCC